TAATTTCGTTTGTGAATTTTTTATTGCTTCCATTTTTCTCCTGAGTCCATTTGTTCAACAATTTATGTCCATCTTTTGCTTGAGTATCTTGTAAATATTTATAATAGTTGCTTAAGCTCCTTGACTACTAATTTTAACATCTGTGTTATGATTAAATTATTATCAATCACAAAATCAACTCCACTCTTGTTGGGACTCCAAAGACTCCTAGCATTTTCAACCTCTGATGTCTCACTTCAGCTTTTCCACTATGGTTGTCTAACATGGACTTTTGCTTTGTTAGACTAGTATTTGGCTGAGCGAAAAACAACTGAAGGTACACACCTGAAACTCCTTCACTGTGAATATTACTCCATTCCAATGCCAGTACCTGCAAATTCCAATCACCTCAGCAGTCATAAACATTGATTTTTTTTCTCCAACTGGTAAAGCCACTGCTCTTTTTATTTAAGTTTGATTTCCCTGTGCTTAGATTTGAATTTTTCCCATGTACAATATAAGGTAAATGTATAGCTCTTCTAATGTGTTTTAGTTTTTGAATGGTGAAAGCACTGCATGGTATGTTGTCCAAGACTTGAAAAGGGCTTCTTCATAGATTTTGTTCAGTTTTATAAAATTTTATAGCATAAATCTGACACTCATTGGTTCAGTATAGCCAAAACTTTCATTTCAAGTAATAATTTTTCAAGCATTTATTATATGAAAAAAAATTTTATCATTGTTTTAGAAACATAAATAAATTTCCTAGTCCCTACAACATAGAAATTATGGATTGTTTTCCCAATGGTAGAGTTAAAAAACTTGAGTGTCTATCGGCTTAAACTATCTAAGGTAATACAAGGTATGTGGTTAATAAGTGTAGAGCTGCATTTTATATTCAGGTCTGTCAGAAACCAAAATCTGCTCTCTTAAAATTTTAGACTTGTTTGGGAATATTTTATAGCCTACCTATTAGTTTAATGAAATCTTCAAGCATGCCTAATGGGTATGTTGTATGTAAAACAAATACTATCAGAACTATGCGATCTGTGCTTGAAGTAAAAATGCAGAGCACAGAGTCCCATAATATTCTGACTCTGCCAAGCCTTCATCAGTACTACTGGGTGATGGAAAATTAGATTTGTATGACTCCTAGATATATTTTGGTTATAGTTTGAAATCACTATACTATATTATGTGGATTATGAGGAATCATTGAAGTTACTGTGAATATTTTATCTGTAGAAGAAAGAGCTAAATGAAGATATAATAGCTACTTAAATAAGTTTTTAAAAGCCAAGGAAAGGATCATTACTTGGAGGACAGATTTTGAGGGCATGCAGTTGTGAGTTCATGTCAAGCTGCAGAGCATGAATCTATATGTAATATAAAAGGCAGGTGCTGAGTTGATTTAAAATCATGTAGCTATTAAATGTTCTTTCCACACACAAGACACACATACAAAATAGAAGAACAACAACAACAACAAAGAGAATGGCAATGATGTAAAGTTATGTATATGTTAATTAGCTTGATTCTGGGGATTATTTCACAATGTACATGTATATCAGATCATAAAGTTGTATATCTTAAATGCATACAACTTTTATTTGTCAATTATACCTCATGCAAGCTGGAAAAATAATCCATAAAAATTATGTCAGACTCAACTCACTATATAAAATTTGCAAGAAAGGGTATTAAATATTTTATCATCTGTAAATTGTATACTACATATCATTTATATTGGTAAAATGTGTAATCAATTTATTATTCAGGGTTCTCCAGAAAGACCAAATGAATAGGATATAGATATGTAAATAGATAGATAGATAGGTAGATATATACATAGATCATAGAGAGGAGATTTATTAAGGGAATTTGCTTACATGATTATATAGGATGAATAGTCTCATAGAATGTTGTATGAAAACTGGGAAGCCAGGGAAGCTGGTAGCATGGCTGTTCAAGTCCGAAACCCTCAGAATCAGAGAAGCAATCAGTAACTCTGAACCCAAGGCCGAAAGCCTGTGAATGTGGTAGGGGCAGGAGGTGAGGGCATGCTGGTACAAGTCCAGGAGTCCAAAGAACAGAAACCTGGAGGTCTGATGTCTATACCCAAATGCAAGAGAAGAAGGGTGTCCCAACTTCAGAAAACAAAGACTGAATTCTCCTTTCCTCTGTCTTTTTGTTCTATCAGGGCTTCTGGTCTACTGGATGGTGCCTGGCCCATATTTAGGTGGGATCTTCTCCACTCATTCCACCAAATCACATGCCAGTCTCCTATAGAAACACTCTCACAAGACACACTTGCTAATGCTGCTTTACCAGATGTCTAGGCATCCCTTAATCTAGTCAAGTTAATATCTAAACTTCTTTATTACAAGTATATATTAATAGAAACAAATAAAGACCATTTGATGAGTCCAAATAAGATATGATCCTGAAAAGGATTAGTAAAGATGTAGAATTCAGATGCATAGCACAAGATGAAAATGAGGAAGACTAGATCAAAGCAAGTTACTGTGTATCAGGGTAGTAGGAGGTAGATAATCCTAGAATATCTGGGGCAGATACCCAACTTAAAAGCTACCCTGAAGGGAGAATAGGTAAGGAGGTTATACTAATGCAAAACCATCTTGAACAATTGTGTAGAAGGAAATATACTGAGTGATAAATCAGATTAAGTTCTGTAAACTTCTCAGTTGTATATTATATTTTTAATATTTTAAATTGAGTCTATGTGTTCCTATTGGACAGTTAAGATATTTATTCCAGTAATATTTTAAGAAATCAGATATTTTTGATTATCAGGTTAAATCAGACATTAAATTAAAAGGCACATATTCTACTAAGATACTATGAGTCAAACATATTTTAGAACTCCAAATTAAGAAACTTGTGTAGTTTTAATTACTATCCACAAGATGTTTCAATGCTGGGTCAGGATATCTTATAAACCACTGAGTCCATGTAAAATTCAGAAAGTTTTTGTTATCCTATTGCAGCTCTGTGACTGCTTTGTAAAAGTAATCCAAGATCAAATATAGATTTGATCTTGCAAGGAAATGGAGAGTTCAGTATTTTAGCCATTTGGGTAATCAAATTAGGCAAAGCAATTGATGAGTTCTAGTTACATACTAAAATTAATGAGTAGTCACAGTGACTGGTATGTTTCAGCTTTCTCTGCTAGAGGAAGAAAAACAAAAAGAAGTTGTGTATATATGTGTGTATTTATTTGTATATATGTGTGAGTATATATCTATATATACATATATACAGATATAGATATGCACATACACATATAGATAACTAGATCTATATCTATATATCTATATATAAAAACTAGATCTAAATTCCAGAAATTGTAAGATTTTAGAAAATCATATTTTCAAGACAGGTTTTCTTTAACTTAGATCCTGGTAGTTAAAATACATTTGCAATCCTAAAAATGACATTGAACTAGTTTCATTAAGACCTAGAAATAATTTGCAGCTCAAGTGGAAAAGGTATTAAGCCTGTGACCTATTAATGAGTAAAATCTTACCTTATCTTTTGATGAACTAACATAAATCTGTTCTTAGTATTGAATTTGAAAATGTATCCTTCATGTTTCAATCAACAGTCAGCCCTGAGATGAACTTATAGCTGCACCTAATTTATCTTCTTCAAAAATCTGGTTGTTGACTGTATTGAATTCATTAGGCAATGAAAGAGGAGATGGGTGCTTTTATTTTTATTTGTGCATCATTATAGGACATGTAGGAACCTTAGAAAGTGCAAGATGGTATAGGATCAAAGTTGTGTTTCAGAATGTAAAAAGATGCTGAGACTTTGATTAGAGTTTGGAATTCCTCAAATTCATTGGAGGATTTAAAAAATGATATCTTTGTGTTTGTTATGTGTGTGAGAGAGAAAGAAGGGGTGAGTTTGCGAGAGAGAAACTGTTGTGTCTCTCTAATTAGATGGGAGGCTTTTAAAAGTAAGGCAATACGTCTTACTTACTGTTATACCCTCAAAAATTTACAAAATGCCTGAGTCAAAATAGAAGCTCAATTAATAGTACTTGAACACTTAATGGTCAATTAATAACACTTGGATGAACCTATAGTAAATGTATTAGCCGAGAGCTGTGCAATGTAATTTAAATTCTCTTCATTTTTTTTTTCATTTCTACAAGATAATTTTATTTAAAAATCAATTACCACTATTATGCTCCATCAGTTCCCATTTCTTTTAACTATGGAGAGGGTTTGAATAATCCAGACCCAGTTCAATTTTATTAGTTGTCAATTAAATACCTTATCTATGTATTAGTTGCCCATTGTTTCGATTTTTGAGTAATAGTTTATTGTTTAGGTGTCCTACAATTTGTTTATTCATTTGCTACTTAATGAAAATTTCTGGGACATAATCCAATGCATTTATTTATTTATACTCAAAATTGCCTAATGTTAACCCTTAGGAGGTTTTTAAGGTTGTTTTCTGGGCCATTTCAACACAACTCCAGACTTTTTTGAATATTTCCTTATTTTCAGGCAGCATAAGATGCTCCTAATCATCAAGTGAATCAGTCACTTCAAGAATCTCTGATTCCTTTCACTAAACAATGCATGGTTTGTCTTTTCATTCACGTAGCAGGATTTAGTTCACTTATTCATGAAAAAATAGTTTCTAATTTAGAATAAGCCTCATTTATCTATATTTTTCTTGTAATGGGTACTGTGGCATAAAACAAACCTTTTTTCTAATACCTGGCTATGAAGATTTTTCTCTACATATTATATAATTTATGAATTATAGTTTTAAATTTTATATTTCAATCTATAGTTCATATTGATTTAATGTTTGTGTAACTTTTGATACATGTATTGAAGTTACAGTTATTAAGCACCACTGTTTGAATGAATAAAACTTTCTCTACTGAATTTACTTTGCATTGTTATAAATGAATAGCAGATCATATTTTATATGTCTATTTATGTGCTCTCTAATCTTTTCTGTGACGTTATTTTGCCCAGAACATGATAACACATGTAGAGCAGAGCACTGTGCACTAGTTACTAATACCAGAAGAGGACTCTCACTATATGGAGGATAATGATCATCACCATACCAGCCACCAGGAATAGAAGTCCAAGTACTTCTGCCCACTCTCTCTTGGTATTGGAGTCACCAAAAATCCACAAGTCAAGTATTTGGTGGAAACTACTTTACTTACAAAAAGATACAGAGCAAGATCAGCTTCAGTAGTGGATGTCTGTCACCATGGTCTCTCCTGGAAAACAATCCAGTGTGACTGGCCTGTGAGCACCCCACTAGTGCTGTAGTAGAAGCACCCTGACACCTCCTCTGTGAAGTCTGAAATATTGAATTGAAAACTAGGGGCAAGCTTGAGGGCCATTGATGTACAATGCTTAAGCAGAACAAAGATGTACTTACTGAGTCTGAAACAGAGAAGGATATACTTTCACACAAAATCTAAACCTAGGATAGGTACTGCCTTTCCCAATACAAGAGATTTTAGTAAATCTTCCAACTTTGTTTTTCTTTATTCCACTTTGTTTTGGTAATTATCTATGCTGTCTTTTCTATATAAAATTAGCGTAAGATAGTCAATACAACAAAAATGCACGGAATTAGATTTGGTTTGCATTCATTCTATAGATTAATTAGGAGGCTCTTGAACATCATAAAAATAGTGAATATTCCAATCCATGAACTCAATATATTTATTTGTTTACTAAGATATTCTTGAATTCTTATTCAGTATTTGTAGGTGACATGCAAATTCTGTATCTATTTTTGTTAATTTTATACCTATTTTATTTTTCCTGATGCTATTCTAACTATTACTTTAAAAATTAACTTTCATGTGGATATAGTCCTAACTTCTTGGAAGACTAAGGTGAAAGGCTCAATTGGGCCCAGGGGGGAGTTTGAGTCTAGCCTGGACAACACAGACCCCCACCTCTAAAAATTAAATTAAATTAAGTTATTTAAATTAAATTAAATTAACTAATTTCCAGTTGTTTATGCACATATATAATTGACCTGGTACCCTGGAACATTCCAAAATTATTTTACTAAATCTGGAGATTTTGTTATAGGTCTATAGACTATGAATTTGTATGCAAATATCTTGCTTATATAAATAGACTTATTTTATCATTTTTATTTTTATGACTTTTATTTCTTTGTTTTTTTTATTTCTTTGTTTTGTTGTTTTTTCACTTACTAGAGCTTTTGAAACTAAAAGTGAGAGCGACTATTGTTGCCTTGATCCTGATCTCAAGGGATAAGTTTACTCATTTTTCACTCAGTTGTGTTGAGTTGGTTGATGAGCTTGTTGAATGCATGCTTTTTCACTTTTACTGTGTTTTTCATTTATATCATTTTCATTAGACTTTTATAGCGTCTATCAGTCTATTGATAATCACATATTTAATCTTTTGTGAAGATGATAAAACTTTAGGATTTTGTGATGCCTCTAACTTTATTGGCATGAAATAAGTGTAGTTTTATTATCTTCAAGGCTAACAAAAGAGTATGATTCTCTGATAAAAGGGAATAAAGGATTGAGTCTATCACTTGAAAGTGAGAAGAGGGAAAAATATTTCAGCCAGGTAAACTCAGTTTTATATTTTTGACAAGATAGAAATATTTAAAAGCTTTTACATTATTATTCAATTTTTTTTGACTTATAAACAGACACTCAAGCATTAATAAACCCTCTCTCAGGATGCAAATAACAATGATGCACTGAATTAAATAAAAGATAAATAATAGTCATTTTCTGAGTGTCTCTTTTCTGTTCTCAGATAAAATAATTGCCTACTTTCTTTAACATTTATTCAAACATTCAGCAAGTTATGTTAACTCTTCACTGTCTGGTATTCTTTGAAGAATATCTGATAATTGCACGTTATATTTATTAATGGCTGTGACTAAATAACGAATTAAGTTTTATAGTAAAAGGTAATAGAGCAAGTGATTCATTCAAAAAAGGCATTCCAATTAAATTTGAGGTTGAAATTTCAGAGATGTCACCTAGACACCAGCCATTTACCTATTTTAACAATCTTGTATATAAAATATTTATCTGTAAAACAAAGAAACAATGTTAAAAATTAGGTATCCAGTTAACGGATTCTGGTTTCTATACATGAAGAGAAACTTTTGCCTTAAAATTTGTTTCAAAGTTATATGCATGAAGGAAAAATACATGTGTTATCACAAACACTATTTTTGTACTTAGTATTCTAATATACTTATCTATTAAAGTCATTAGGGTGCAATTTACTCATGTGAAGGGTTGTTCTCTTATTTGCCACTTTTTGGCAAATAGTATGAGTTTCAATTCATTTCTGAATGTGAACAGATAAGAAGAAATTGCCAAAAATATTTGGTTCATAACATGATACTCTAGCAGCATGCTAGTCTATCTTTAATAGTGCTTGTAAGGAAATATCAATAAAGTGTCTTTGTCTTCGTTAGTTTTCTGAGTGTTTTTGTGTTTGTCAGAAAGCCTGTGGTAGCTTATGTCACTGGAAACTTCTGAGCAAATTACTTATTTGTTAATTAGTGGTTTCAACCTAAAATATGATTTCCTTATAGGAGTGTGGATACATAATTATATATTTTCTTATAGAAGTGTGCATATATGTTTTAATATTATATATATAATTATACACAGGAACATATAATTACATATTTTTATATATAAATGCATATAATTATATATTTCTATATACTATATACTATATAAATTATAAATATATATATGTGTGTGTATATATATTTTTATGAAATAGCAATACTTTTACACTGTTGGTTGGAGTATAAATTAGTTCAGCCACTGTAAAAGACAGTGTGGCAATTCCTCAAGGATCTAAAACCAGAAATATCACTTGACCCAGCAATCCCATTACTGGGTATATAGCCAAAGGAATATAAATCATTCTACTATAAAGACACATGCACACATATGGTTTATTGTGGCACTGTTCACAAAAGCAAACACTGGGCACCAACCCGAATGCCCATCAATGATAGACAGGATAAAGAAAATATGGCATATATACACCATGGAGTACTATGCAGCCATTAAAAAGGATGAGTTCATGTCCTTTGCAGGGACATGGATGAAGCTGGAAACCATCATTCTCAGCAAACTGACGCAAGAACAGAAAACCAAACACTGCATGTTGTCACTCATAAATGGGAGTTGAATAATGAGAACACATGGACACAGGGAGGAAAACATCACACACTGGGGCCCACTGGGTGGTGGGGGAGGGATAACATGAGGAGAAATATCTAATATAAATGTCGGGTTGATGGGTGTAGCAAACCACCATGGCACATGTATATCTATGTAACAAACCTGCACTTTCTGCACACGTATCCCAGAATTTAAAGTATAATAATAAAAACCTTACCAAGGACTCTCTTATCCTCATTATCTGTCTAAAAAATTTCTATTTAGCTCTTATATCACTGACTTCGATTGTTTGGACTAAGTAGTTTCCTACAAACTCTTCACTGCAAAGGTGGCATCTACTGTCACCCTTTTCTTTCTTTCCTATCCTTTCTTTTATCCTTCCTTCCTTCATCGATATGAATTTATGCATTGCTTTATCATCAAAAAATTATAATCCATTTGCATCATTATGTATTTTGAAACTCAAATTTTCCCAGATGTAGTCAGTGGAAAACATTTCAGGACACTCAAGAATTTTGATAAATTTTCATCTTAATTATAATGTTTCACTAGATTATTTGGAATTTTTAATATCACATTATCTGTGAATAATTAGGAATTTATTTTTCACTTCTATTCTTTTTACATTTTTTCAAAAAAATTTTTTTTATTATAAGCATAGTCTTAGGAAATTTTTTTTATTGCATTTTAGGTTTTGGGGTACATGTGAAGAACATGCAAGATTGTTGCATAGGTACATACATGGCAGTGTGATTTGCTGCCTTCCTCCCCTTCACCTATATCTGGCATTTCTCCCCATTTTTTTCATCAAAAGAGTGAAGCATACACCGCCTTGAAAAAAAAAGAATTCTTTACAATTCATTATCTGTATTAGCATGACAGCATTCCTCAAAGTAAAAACACATTTAAATGGAAAGGAAGAAGAGTAGTAGGTAATTTAAAAATATATATATATATATATATATATATATATATATATATATATATATAAAGAAGACCCCAGGAAAGTGTCCAATGGCTAATTCTCTGCATCCTTAGGAGAAGACAGAATAACTGATGGCAGAAGCACCTGAGGTCTTCTTCCTGAGCTGTGGGCTTCAGGGGAGCCCAAGAGTTCATGGCAAACAGCATCTGATGAAGAATGACGTTGACCAATAAAGGCACGGGGTTAAAGAGCAACAATATAAATACCTTAAAATTGTACTTAGGAGATAGAATCTGTCTCTGCTCCCTTTCAGAAGCATCATTTTTTTCCCTTGAATCAGAGCCTGTCAGAAGCATTTTGCAAAACAATTGTAAGAAGAGACTGAAACCTCAGAAAAACTTTTAGGTAGGTGTTATACTTCAGAGATTTTGTAAATTCAGAGAAAATAATTGATCAAAAGATCTGGATATGCCTTAACCTGTTTTTGGTTGTTGTTACGTTTAAAAGGCCACATATTTCTTTTTTTTTTTTGCTTGTTTTTTTAAATTTATTTTTGTTAATTAATTAATTAATTAATTTTTTTATGAGACGGAGTTTCGCTCTTGTTACCCAGGCTGGAGTGCAATGGCACGATCTCGGCTCACTGCAACCTCGGCCTCCCGGGTTCAAGTGATTTTCTTGCCTCAGCCTCCTGAGTAGCTGGGATTACAGGCATGTGACACCATGCCTGGCTAATATTGTATTTTTAGTAAAGACAGGGTTTCTCCATGTTGGTCAGGCTGATCTTGTACTCCCGACCTCAGCCTTACAAAGTGCTGGGATTACAAGAGTGAGCCACTTACTCACTCTTGTAATCCCGACACTCCTCGGCCTTACAAAGTGCTGGGATTACAAGAGTGAGCCACTGTGCCTGGTAAAATACCACATCTTTAAGCAACGGCTTTGAATATTCCATTAAATTACCATTCCTTGGGTGGGGGAGGGATAACATGGGGAGAAATGTCAGGTATAGGTGATGGGGGGATGGTGGCAACAAACCGCCTTGCCATGAATGTACCTATGCAACAATCTTGCATGATCTGTACATGTACCCAAGAATCTAAAGTACCATAAAAAATAAATTACCATTCTTTTTATAGCCAGAGGTTTGTACTGAATAAAGTAAAGCAACCGTCAGTACAAGTAGATAATAGTCAAACAGACACTGTCCATTTCTCATTCACAGTGATGAACTATTCCTTCATACATGAATAGATACCTATAAGAGGTAATCCATTGCTTAGTGATACTGTTCACCTTCTTTTTGACAGAAGGAGAGAATAGAAAATCTTTGTGTGTACAAGACATGTAAGAGGCCATGGCCATTGTTCTGACATTAGTTATGTTAGCTACAACTGATGCATGTCAATTTAAAGAGAAAATATTGCTTGTTACATTCACTTTATTCAGCATAGAGAAACACCAAAGTAGGTAAATAGTTGAGTAGTTTCCAAAAGAAACAACATCTGTATCTACAGTTTAAAACAATGGGATATTTGCTCATAATTTTTCAGTGTTGGTGGATCATCTGGCTGATATTTCTGCTCGTTTTGTCTTTCGCCTCTCTTGTAGTTTTAGTTACCTGGCAGCTTGACTGGACTAGATGACCCACAGAAGTCTCACTTACATTTCTTTCTGATGTCTAGTTGTGGCTCTGTTTAGATGACTTATTCTTATTTTATTGGCCCAGCTAGCAGGCTAGCCTGCAGGAGAATATAGCAGTAACAGCATTCTAGAAGGGCAAATCCTGATGCTCAGGTGCTCATTAAGTCACTATTTGCCTCGTATTTGCTGATTTGTCATTGGCCAAAGCAAACCACATGGCCAAAACCTTAGTCAATGCGTAAAGGTATGGATACAGGAAGGTATGACTCATTGGGGGAATCCATTAAATTAATAATCTACTATAATGCCTCAGTATATATAAGACTGGTATATATGTTGAAAAAGTATATATTTTTCATATTTTTGTTCTTGGTTTCATATACTTAAAATTTTTTAGACTTACAGAAGAAAACAAAGACACTTCAAAAAATTAAGGAGCATGCCTGTATACTTATCACCCACTTCCTATAATGTTGACATTTATTTAGCCACAATACAATTAACAAAACTAAGAATTAAACATGAGTGCATATTATTAACTAAAATACAGGCTTCATTCAGTATTCACTAGCTTATCTACTACTATATTTTTCTCTTTCAGGATCCAATCCAGCATTCCATAGTATTGCTTCCCCATAGTTTTATCCTGTGACGGTTTCTGACTCTTTCCCTGTCTTTCATGACCTTGACGCTTTTGGAGAAAAACTGGTCTGCTGTTTTGTGAAATGTCCTCTAATTTAGATTTGTCTCATGCTTTTTCAGCATTAGATTAAGCATATGCCTTTTTGGCAGGAATACCACAGAAGCGATGTTTTTCCTTTCTTACTGGAGTTCCTTTCCAGTAGGAGTTACTTGATGTCAGTAAGTAGTGATGCATTGACCTTAACTTGATCACGTTTTTAAACTGGTGCCTTCTGGATTTCTCCATGGAAAAAAGTACCTCTCTCCTTAGGCATATCCCTGAAATCAACTGAATTTCCAAGGAGAAAGGAAAAACAAGTTAAAAATATCTTTAGTTTAATTTTACTAAACACCTTTCAACTTAATTTCTTAGTGTAATCTCACAAAATGCAGGGGAATATAACCTACTTTTCCTAAATATCTTTCTATTTCTATTTTGGAACATTGTCTTAACAATGTTTTTTACTTGACAATTTCTACTAGGAGTGGAGGTCCCTCATCTTAAATTTTAATACTTATTTCTTCTGACTATCACTAAGATTTTACATAATTAGGTTTCTGGTCTGCATGTTCTTAAACATCTATTAACATAAGTTCATCCAATTAAAGAGTGTAAGGCATTTACTTATGATAAATATGACTCTAAAGATCAGTTATATGAAAGACCCTTGCAACAGTGTTGGATAGTCATTTATCCAAACAACCTTTATATGTCTTTTGACATTTTGTATTTAGGCATGTATGTCTTGCAAGTAAAGGCACTGTAACTTTCTTTCATTTTGTTTTTCAGTTCTGAACTATCTGTTCAAGCATTGTCTTGTTTTGTTTTTGTAATAAACAAGTCTGGCAGATAGAAATAGTGTCTCCCTCTGGAGCAATGTTCAGGCTTGGATACTGACCTTTAACAACATATTTATATTCTAAGCTGAGGGTATGTTCAGATGTCATTTGACTCTGTTTTCATGTCACAATAGGAAGTTGGACACAGTGAAATGGCACAAGCAGATGTTAATTCAC